TCATCCCAGCTCTCAGAGCCGCTAATTAACCCTCCTCTCCCCCACCTTGGAGTGCATGTATAGATGTCCATTAAGTATGTTGGAAGAAAAAAAACTCTTAATTGTATGTCCCATAGAAATGAAAATAATTTATGTTATGAACATTTCCATACCACTTGATAACAATAACTGAACTACAGCAAAACAAACTGAACAAGAATAAGCTGATGTCCAATTTAAAACGTTTTCAGGCTTGCATGGGGATTAAAGTCAATTTTCCTGACTGAACTAAAGTGACTATATGCTAGAACACATCTTTACCTAGGCTAAATTCCTACATCATACCAACTCTTTCATAACTGGAACAGGGATCTCTAAGCCAGACTTCTGGGCTTGACTATATCAAATAGTTACCCACTATATTTCAGGGCTAGATAAATATTTTAACTTGGGCAAGTCTCTACCCAAATCATATTTTCAGCTCAACTTCCAGACTGAGCCAATCCTCCAAAACTGAAGCAAGCCTGGTTGGACCACGACAGAGTCACAGCAGGACTCTATTGTGATCCAACCAGGCTTGCTTCAGTTTTGTGAAGCAATAGGATCACAGTAACTTTCAAATTCAGGAAAGCTTTATAGCACTGGAGGCCAACTTTTGGCAGATATACCACAAGGTCAGCCCTGTGCTCTTCCCAAGTGTAACTCTGATCCCCTTCCTTTGTTGTTGCTCTTTTTTCTGCTTCCTGCCCTATCTGTAGCTGTCCTGCCTGTCCCCCGATCTCTCAATGCATGTCACGAAGATTGCCCATGCCACATGTGGCAAGTGTGCCAAAGGTTGGCCATCATTACCTTATAGCCTCTTACCCCTTACCCAACTAAAGGCTGAACCAATCCACTGGAGACATGGACAGATCTATTGATCTAATTTGATAATCACTTAGAATTTTCCTACTTATAGTACCTGGAAGGTTGAATAGAAATCTTCTTCAACATTGCCTTCATAGGATAGGAGTTCATTTAGTCCATGGGCTAACTCCTGCAAAAAAAAAAAAAGTTCACTAAATTTATCGAATTAGATACAATTCCACCATGTCCTTTTCAAGCCATTTCTAGTGGGTAATCATTCCATCTCATTTTAAAACTATTGTGAAATCTTACAAACTCCTCAGTGGGAGAATACAAAAGCCATACACAAATTCTTATCAGTTGGATGAAACCCCCAGAAAGTTATCCTGCTATAAGATTTCTGTATAGCACCAACCCTAATATTAGTAGAAACCAGGCATTCAGAATAAATGATTACAGAAGAGGGATTTTGTGATTATCATGGTTAAGTGGATTACGTAGACTGGTATCTAGGTCTGCAATGAGCAAACTGGAGTCTAAGGGCCAAAGAAGCTGATCATCCATTCTAGGAGAGGCATGGCTCTTCAGAACGCTTGCCCTTGGAAGATGAATTACGGAAGCTTTTAGGCAGTAGTGGAAGTTTACTTCTTATCTTTACCTTTTCTTTAAACCCCCCCCACAAAATCATGACAGCTTTGACAATGGGGTGAAGATCAGATGCTAAACTTAAGATAGCTCTTCAATTTTTTTTATGTGGTATTTCTTTGTGATCATTAGGATCTCTTTTTGCATATTACCTGCTTACAGTGGGGGGCTGGAGAAGCAAGTTAATGAGGAAGAAATAAACTTCTCCTCAAACACCAATATAATGACCTAATGAAAGGCTTCACTCTATCCAGATAAATAATATTGCTTTGGTTGCAGACAGAAGTGACAATTTTTGCCTGATCTGGACAAGACAGCAGTTTATAGCTGTGACCAAACAGAAGTGCATGGCTGCTGACAGCTTAAAAAATGGCTGACTGGGTGAAAATCTGACCCCTCACTGCATGAGGTATCAGAAAAAGATGCTTCAAAATGTAGCGTCTTTTGTAACTTGTGTCCACTGAGCTCCTAGCCTGTTGCTGTTTTCAGAATGGAAGTGGGGAAAGGGAGTGGAGGGAGTTCAATCTGTGGCTTTTTCAACACCCCCTGCAGAGTGGGGCAGTTGTACTGGAGCCCGTCTCCCCACCCCAGGTGGGTGGGCTCCAATTTACCTACCCCACCCATCAGCACTAGCTGGGGAGCTACAAGAACAAGCTTCCTCCATTGCCTTTTCCCCCTCCCATTCTGAAGACAGCAAGCACTGGCAGAGAGCCTGGCAGTTGCTATGGGAACCTGGGTGCATGCTCCCAGCAGGCAGCTAGATTCCCCTACCCCCTGGAACCAACAGTGAACTTCTGTTTGGTCTGGGGTAATGTTGTAACTCAGAAAATTTTGGAGAAATATTTCTGAGTTACAGCTGGGAGTTACACTTCTGTCTGCACCCTTTATGTCCAGCCATATAAACTCCCTCCTGTGACATGAGAACACGAAGGGCCAAGTTTTAAATATGTACTTAGCCTTCTAACGAGGAAGTTAAACACGTAGGGCATCTTCACACATACTGAGGAGTGTGTGTGGGGGGGCAGGGAGTGCTTTAATTAGAGCGGCTCTTGAGAGCCACTCTAAAGTGCCTGCAGCATCTCATTTATTCAGCGCCCCACACTTCAATATGGTGGCGGGGGCGCTTTAACTAAATCCCGTTTGATGAGCTTTAGTTAAAGTGCGGGGACGCTGAATACACATGATGCCAAGACTGCTGGAGTTTGTTAATTAGCACACTCCAGCAGACCCAGTTAATCAAGTTACCACATGTCAGAGCAGGCACCACGCTTGTGTACAGGTGCCCCTAAAGGTATTTGCAAAAGCACCTAGGCAGGTTAGACTCTTCACTTACATGGATAGTCAACAGATGGCAGCCACCTAACTCACTCACGAAAATCCCAGTAGGCAGTTACCTGCATCTTCATATGTTCTAGCTAAGTTTTGTAAATCTGCATGTCTGCATATCTTTATCTGAAAAAATGCTTTGCCTCCTCAACAATGAAAGCAATAGGCACTAGGGTTGCTGGTATTTAAAGGGGAACCCTACTCATAGATACAGTGCTTTTCTGCAAAGCAAAAAAAGCTCAAGATCCTGTCCTCATTTAGGTATCTCTTTGTTTCTTCACTTAAGAAACTGCATACAAATATCATCTTTGACTTTACAATTCAAGACTGAGACTTGTGAAGAAAGGAACTGAAATGGCAGTTATGTCAAGGTAATGGTGTCAAACTCATCTGCCACATGGACTGGTTCTGCGCTATGGACACATGCCGTACCCTTTGTGGGTCTGATCAGACCATGGGGCAGCACCGGAGGCCAGATGGAGGGGTTCCACAGGCCAGATCTGGGCCATATACATTTGAAACCCCTGACCAAGGGGGAGAGGTTTAAGACTAAGTTCATGCTGTCCCTAGCATGGATTTTGGTCACAAAATAATAGATGGGGCCATGTGTAGGTAGGTTGGAAAGTTTAGTTCCTCCAGAACTGATGCATGCTCAATAACTTTACTAAATCTACTGACTGCAGGGGATAACATGGGTCTCCCAGAATACAATTCTGCAGTTGTGTTGCCCTCCAGTTTTTCCCCATAAACTCAAATAATACAAAGGATATTTTGGTTCAACTTTTTAGGAGTAGGCAAGCAGAGATTTAGCACAAAAAGGCAGCCTAAAAGGCAAATAGTATAGAAAGTTGTAAACATACTGAAAAGCAACTATTATATGTACATGAAACAAAAACAGAAGCAACCAAGTAATCAAATTAAACTAGCTATTTCAATAAATCAACCTTTAAAATAATGATTTATACTTACAGGCATAATCTGATACAGGTCATTTAATGTAACGTCACAGATGCCTACAGGAGTATTTTGATCACAAGGAACAATGGGAGGACTCAACAGTTTCTTGTAACAGCAGGGTGGGAAGCGAATATCCAAGGTAATACTATTATATACAGCGAGTCCCATAAGCTATAAATGTCAAATGTTAAATGGAAAATTACCTTCTTATTATTAAATAATAATTTTAGGCAATCTTGGATAAACAACTTAATATACACAGAGTACTCACAACACTAATTTAAGTAAAAAAATTATGTTCCTTTTTTCATGTCTATCATTATTTAAATCTAAATGCAACCTTATGTCATATTTTGAGTAAATAAGATTAAAATTACTATAGAATGCAATTTGATGAACTCTTGAAATCCTTTATACTCAAGATACTATATTACTAATGCAAGGACATACTGGTTAACATTAAAACTACAGATACAGTAATTTTAATCCAAGAATTCTGTATTCTTAATATCAATGCTGCAATAAAAATAGAAAAAACATTAGGTAAGACCTATGATGATCATGACATTCTATAGCTGACAATTTCAGGATGTTCCCACAAATTGGTAATGAAGGAGGTGCTATGAAGGCGACTACTGTCTGTATGACCCACTAGGTGGCAGAAAATAAAAAAAAGGGAAATTGGTAGCACAGCTGAATGCTGCCCTGGATAACTGGAGCCTTGGAGCTCTTGTGCAAATTGGACCAAGTATTAGATAGCAGGTTTGGTAACCAAAAAATAAGAAGAAACATAATTATTAAGAACCTATGAAAACTCTGATTTATGGGATCTGCATGATTTATTCTACGGACTACCAGGAAATATTTCAAAACTGGGAAATGCCAGAATTAAAGTGTTTGATTCCTAGTAATCATGCCTATGTATATACAAGTAGTTAAAATATTTTTTTTTCTTATTTTTAGTTTTCTTCTACAAATTTTACTGTATTCTATTTTGGCTATATAAAATTAAAAAGGGATCTCACCTGAAAAAGGAAAACCATGCTAAAAGCTTAAAAAGTCTGTTGTATTTTTTTCAGACATTCCTGCTGTTTTATTTTTACACAGTTAACTAATTAAGGTACTAATCACGTAGTACTCTGTCATGGACAAAGGATACAGCTCCAACCAATCGGAATTCAGAGTAGTTTTCACATTTAAAGCTGCTAAACCAATGACAGTGTGAATCCTTGTGATATGTAAACATACCTGTAAAATACCAAAATTATTTTCATGTTTATCCATAATAAACCATTTCCCCAAAGCACATAATTGTATCTTATTCTTCCATATTTTTATTATGATGGGCGCAGACAGAAGTGACATTTTCTGAGCAATCTGGCCCCTGAAAGAGCTCTACATCCACGTCATAACATGTTCACAGCAGCAGAGGGCTTTTAAAATGTCCAGTTGTGTGAAAAATAAATCCTGGACAAATCAGCTTGTGTTCCCTCCAACATTTTTCCACACAGGGGGTGGGGAGAGCGGTAGGAGCTCCCACTTGTTGAATGGCAAGGGGGGGTGGGGAAGAGCCCCTTTGCTTTACGGGCCCCCCCCTCAGCTACCTTGGGTTGGGACAGCAAGGCAAGAGGGCTCAATTTCCCCCATCCCTGCACCTTCGCAGCTCTGGCCATTCAGCAGCCAGGAGCTCCCTCTTGTTCTCCCTCCCTTCCCTGCTGAATGCACAAGAGCTCGGGGCTGGGGGGTGGGGAGGGGGGAGAAAGGGGTGGTTTGGCAACCTCCTTCGAGGCTTCTGGAGTGCCCCCACCTGCTGGTCAGGGTCAGTGCAGGCTGGCTCCAGCCCCCTCCCTGACCCAACAGGCAAAGCTGGGAGGAAGGAGGGTCCCAACTCATGGCACTATATAAAGCCTGTTAGTGAGACCTTAATGTCTGCCTGCACCCACAGAAAAATATGGTTACCAAGGAGGTCACCAAGGCCAACCTTAAGCTCAGGCCAAGAACATCCCTATCTAACTTACACATAAAAAACTTCCCGTGAGGGAGATCGCACATCCTTTGCAAGTGTACGTCTACATATGCATTCATGCTAGACATTATCCTCCTTTTCCATCGTCAGTATTACTAGACAGCCTTGGAGAATGCTGCCACACATTCAGCAACACACGTCACAAGACATATTATCACAAAAGGCAAAGTTGATAGCAATGCCAGTGAAAGGTGCATCACAACAAACAAACAGATATGCCCCAGACCAGTGATAACCTCCATTGCAATGATATCCATTAAACTGAAAGCAATTACAACAATGGCAAGCCCACAATACAGGCAGCTTGAACCACCTCCAAAATAAAAAATTCCTAAGTGTAAATCAACTGGATCAAAACTCCATTAATACGAAGACAGCAGATTTAATTGTTCAGTTAGGAACAGCATACAAATCCACTTCCATGTTCCTATCATCTTCTTCATTTGGAAAGAGTTTTAATGTCATGTTCTTGCTTTAGAGAAATCATCTGGAAATGATATACTTGGCTAATCCATCCCGTTCTAGAGCCTTCCAGACCCTCACATACTTTCTTATCCCTGTTCGGTGATCCATTTCTGAAGAAAACATGATTGAAAAATTCTGCTGCAAATACACTGAAAGCATGTACACTAGCAGTGGAACTTATATTGACAAGCACTTGAAATGGACTCTCATGTAGGCACCTCCATCAGACTACTAAAGCTTAATAAATTCATAGACATTAGGGCTGGAAGGGACCTCAGAAGATCATAGAGTCCAGCCCCCCGCCCAAAGGGCAGGAAGTCAGCTGGGGTCATAGGATCCCAGCAAGATAAGCATCCAAATTTCTCTTGAAGGCGTTCAAAGTAGTTGCTTGAACCACCTCCGATGGCAAGCTATTCCAGACCTTCGGGGCTCGGACAGCAAAGAAATTCTTCCTTATGTCCAGCCTGAAATGGTCTTGCAGGAGCTTATAACTGTTTGACCTCATCATCCCTTGGGGTGCTCTGGTGAATCAAACGTTGCCCCAGGTCCTGGTGAACACCCAATAAACTTATAGGTGGCCATCAGATCACCCCTGAGCTTGCGCTTTTCCAGGCTAAAGAGCCCCATAGCTCTCATCCCGTTATCGTAAGGTCTGTTTTCCTGACCTCTGATCATGTGCGTGGCTCTTCTCTGGACTCTCGCAAGCTTCTCCACATCCTTTTTGAATGGTGGGGCCCAAAACTGGACGCAGTACTCCAGCTGTGGCCTCACCAAGGCCGAGTATCAGGGGAGAATGACATCCTGGGATCTGCTTGAGAAGCATTTATGGATGCTCGCTTTACTAGCCACAGCATTGCATTGAAGGCTCATGCTCATCTTGTGGTCAATGATGATCCCCCAAGTCTCTTACACAGTAAATGATTACTGAAAATCTGAACCATTTATATTTGGACCACTGCAAAAATCAGCAGTTTTCCACCCTGCTGGGCACAGCAAAATTTCAGCCACATGTTCTTAAATAGCTCAGTAAATCTATGCAACCACTGCCCTCCCTCCCCAAACAGCTACAGTGGAGGACTCAACAAAGGCAGACAATGCAAGATAAAGAAGAAAGCAGCTAATGGACATTGTGAGCAAATACCAGGAATGGATTAACATTACTCTGGTCATATTGGACCGAATTAGATTTAAGGTGACCCAAGCCCCAAAGAATTAATTTCACTGCCTTCACTCTACATTCTATAACTTCCCCTGATCAGAGTTTACTAAACTCTCTAATGCAGTGATCCTTAATTGGGGTGATGCAGCACACAGGTGCCACAAGATCCTTAGAAGGGTGCCACCAGATGAGGAGATAAGCAAGATGTAAGGAGATAAGCAGATAAGTGCAGGGTCAAGCTGTCTTTATCTGCTCTCTCCCAAGCTTGGCCCCATCTGCAAGGAGGTAATATATAAATTAGTTTTTTAAATGGGCCACCACTTGGTTCAAAAAACTTCTGGAGGGGCGCCTTGAGTCTCAAAAGCTTTGTAACCACTGGTCTAATGTGATAAACCAGTGAAAAGAAGTTTCAACTCTTCCAATGCACTTGAACTGTCTCAATGAATGCCAACTTGTCACAGGTCTTCATCCAATATCTAAGCCTGAAGTTTTTCTTATTTTTTTAAATGACCAACATACAACTGTAGTTTTTGCTCCTTTGCTTTTGCAACTAAAAACTGCTATTGGTCATTATTTCCATCTCCATCCACAACTCTCACAAAATGACCCACCTTTCTGCCCACATTGCTCTAGCTCAGATATGCTCCCTGAATAGAAACCATTAACCTAAAGGCTTAAAATAATGCTTCAATTAATTTGATTTTTAAATTAATTAATTTTAAAAGCTTAACTATGAGGACTCACCATAGTCTGGGTGAAAGATCTGGCGAATCAGGAGAAGAAACCATTCTTTTGTCAGACCACCCATATCAAGTCCAGCCTCCCCTACAAATGTAACTTTCAACTTCTTTTTTAAATCTGCTCTCTTCCTTGTCAGCTATTAAAAAAATAAAGAACTGCATTTGATCAATGTTATTACATTATATATAAAATATAATATATACATGTACATATAAGTAGAAACATTTTTGGATAATACATTTTCATCGCTATAGCTATTTGTATTTTTTATTTTATACACATTTACTAAATTCTAATTCATACATTAAATCTACATGCAACAAACTGTCTGGTCTGGGAAACGAAGGAAACCACAATTCCCACTCCCAGCACCTGACCCAGCTCTTCTGGGCTTGGATGCTATCTTACCGACATTCAAAGAGCTCTCTCAGAGTTCTCACTCCTGGAAATGGAAGAACCATCTCCTCCCACTATCCTGCAGGCCTAACCAATTTGTTCTTCTGGGAGAGATGGGGAGGAAATTTCCTGCAGTACACAAGTGACTGGTGAACTGAGGGTTTTTCCCACTTTCCTGTCAAAACTTGAGAGTTGTTTGGTAGATAAGACATGGACCAGAACATCACAACTTTTGGCTACTGTTCCATATAACATACCAAGCAGCAGACTAGGTTTGGTAAAACCGTGAGCATAGAATCCAGTAACTTTCTGGAAAAGTTTGGTTTCATTAGGGAACCTGCTCTTTCTATTCCTTCATCATTGGTATAGTATCCATATGGGAAACTCCTAGCAATTGTCTGCATCCCCCAAGTGACTTAGGTTAGACCTCTGGTCGTGATGCTGTCAACCATGTAGGTAGCCTAATTAGCTTGAAGATAGGATAAGTGACAGTGTCACCCAAAGATGTCAATTAACCTGTTTAAAGTACTATGCAGTCAGCTACACTGTTTCCACTTAAAGCAGCAGCCTACCCAGAGCAGCACAGCATGCTGCAGGGCACTGCTGCTAGGGATATTTACTATGAAGACATGGCTTTAAAGAGGTCCAGCAAAGGGTGTTTGACTCTTGTTGTTATGACAAATTCATGTCATTCTACACTGAAGCATTTTTTCCTTGATAGGACTGAGGTACCATCTACTTGAGAATTTAACTCTTTTAACAAAGCTGTGGCTTACTACCTAATACCCTAGTGGGCAGTAGGGCTGTGCGAAACAGCACTGGTTTGTTTCTACTTCTAGTTTGCTGTTTCAGCTGGACAGTGTTTCATTTAGAGTTTCATTTTGTTTCAAAGCACTGTTCCATTTCATTTTGTCTAAACCGTTTTGCTGTTCCAACGTTTTGCCCACAGGCTATAATAGGGAAGCACAAAACTACCTATAGCTTAGTCAATTTTGGCAGATTTGGATGAAAACAGTAGGGCTGGTAGCCCCGTCTGAGGGCATGAAGCCTGCCAAGTTTCAAGGAGATAGGTGCAGGGGTCTCTGGGAAACTGCACCTCAAACTGCTGACAAGCAAAACTCGTGACATCTGTGACTGGTGCTGGGGCCTCTACATGATAGTAGTGTGCCCCAGTGAGGTCTCCTCCTCCCCTACAGCCTCAGACCGGTCCACCACTTTAAATAACACAGGTAAAATAATAACTAGTGAGGAACAGCACAGTAGCACCAGCAGCCTCTCAGGCAGTCAAACTGACAGAGCTTTTCTTTCCTCTCCTGAAGCAGCTTCTTTTCCAGCGTGTGTTAAGGCATGCCCTCACTGTGTCCTTTCCCCCTCCTCCCCCTCCCTCTCCTTACTTTCCGTTCCCCTGCAGGCAAGCCCATCTTCAGCTTCGAAACTCGAAACAGTTTGAAACTTTCAAAATGTTTGGACTGCCCTCATTTCGTTTTGAGGCTGTTTTGAAGCTCTTGGTTTCATTTTGATTTAGCTGTTTCAGGCTTGAAACAAGTCAAAACAGCACTGAAACAAAACAGCCAGGGAAATTTCACACAGCCCTAGTGGGCAGATGTTTTTATCCATGTGTCTCCATGTGTACGGCTTTATGAAAGTTTTTGTTATATCTTCCTCAGATTACAGCTTTTCACAATTAGCCAAAGGCATTAGTATGACCTAACAACTTTCTTCTAATAATGGGAAGACATTAAACCAGCAAGAATGCAGCATGGGTTATAACAGCTCCTGCATTCCATTTATTCATACATTGGTAAGTTTCTATTGCAACAAGATTTTTTTTTCTTTTTGTATATTTGCATAACTTAACTTGATCTGAACCCCAATTTTATTCTTCTAAAGATTGCTTCAAATACTTGAAATATATGAAACAAAGCATCTTTTATTTTCTTCAAAACAGAGAGAATGGCCAATGCAAAGGGAGATTCCATCGCACTTCTGTGTTATGACGGCAGAAATGGAGAAAAAGCAGCAGAAGTGAAATAAAATCTAAGGAAGCAGGCATTTATATTTATAAGTGAGTACATTTATAATAAAGGTAAATTATTATAGAAGAATCTTAAAGTTTGATGAGTTAACAAATGTTAACTATTTAATGACTGTCTTGAAATTTTCTTTCACCTTTTTATCATTTACAATTATTTTTCAAAGCCAACCAACTATTTTTAGGTTTTGAGGAAGATCAGGGAACAAGATGTGATTAATGCTGATTAACAAGGTTTGGCTGACTGAAAAGAAACAGACGCATATGTTTCTCTTCCCAATGCTACTCAAAATAATCTGCTGTTTAGAAATGAAAGAAACACACACAGGGATCAGTTAAAAATTTAAATAAGTATTTAGGAAAATAAAGCTTAAAGCTTAAACTAATTAAAAACTGTGAAAAGAAAAGGCAGTGAAGGAAAAAGAAATTCAAAATATAGAGAGATAGATTAGAAAAAGCTGAAGCTACTACTGTGGAACAATAGAACTAGATTCTCATGCAGCATACTTCACCCTTATATAAACGTTTAGTATAATGCAATATGATCAACACGGATCTTGGTTGTCTCTACTAAAAATAAATAAATAAATAAATAAATAAATAAGTTGCAAATGATCTGATTAACGCCCCCACCCCAAAATCTGTGTTTTTCTGTGATTAAAATATAATTCCACTCTATGTATAGGTATCAGTTGAACACAATGTTTTATTGTTATATTTACAATTTTACAGCAATTTGGAAGCCTACCAGTGCCTCAATCACTGTAATAAAATTAATTCTATATATTTTGGTGTTTGATTTTGTTTTTTTCATCATGGAAAATCAGAGCCCTCTTGCCCCCTTCACTCACCAGGATGTGGGTTCAGCTGTGGCTTTCCCTCCCCACTGCTTTGTGGTGTTGAGAAGGCCAGATATGCTGGTGCCCTGCCCATGCCATTGCCCCTCATTCCCCACCTAATGCCCCCTTGACTCTGCTGGTGCCCCTCACTCTCCCTACCCACTGCCCCATGGACCCTGTCAGTGCTCCTCACTCCCCACCCAATGCCCCACCCCACCCAGCCCTGCCAGAGGGGGACCCCAGTTGCCAGAGCTCTAGGGCCAGGGACCCAGGTCTGCAGCCTGCTGCCCTCCCCAGTAGTGCCCAAACCCCAGCTGCTGCCTATGGGAGGCAGCACCTGCTGCAGCCTGAGTGGGGAGTGGAGCACAGAGCCTGGCTCCCCCTCCCCCATGGGCAGTACAACCAGAGTGGAGTCCGTGGGGGACTGGACATGGGCTGCTCTCTGTAGGCTTGGGGCTTCCTGCCTTGCTGCCCTCTCCGTTGGTGCCTCCACAGCCCAGCAGGTGGGACCCGGCACAGCAGGGCAGAGTGGGGAGGGTAGGCTCAGTGTCACTGATGTGAGCCCCACACTGCCATGGCAAGGTGCCCCCCACCCACCTGGCAGCAGCAGGGGATACAACTTCATAACACCACCTCCTCTACTGCCTGGCAGGTAGGGGGCGCTTTGCCATGGTGGTGCAGGGCTCCTGGCTGCAGCACTGAGCTTCCCCACCCTGCTCTGGCCTACTGTGCTGGGTCCTGCCTCTTGGGCCACAGAGGCCCCCAGGGCAAGGGAAGTAGGGAAGGGAGCTGAGGCACCCACCCCTGCCCTGTGCAAAACCTAAGAGGCATGTGTCCCCCAAGCCCCCTCCAGGAGTATGCACAGCAGCAGGGAGCCAGCCCCCCATTGCCCCCAGATGAGTCGCCTGCAGCTCCATCCTGCTTCCAGCCCATGTCCAGCAGCCGTGCATTCCAGCCCTGGGCCCCAGGCCCCATGCACCACCCCAGCTAGGCAGCAGTCCCAGGCACCAACCCCAGCCCTACTCAACCCCTTTCCTTACTATGGGGGCCTCTTCCATGCTTCCCGCCACCTTATGCGCACGGAGCTGCGGGAGGTGCTATCCAGGCTGCCATGTGCATATGTATGTGCACACATGCACATGGTGTCTCCTGCCTGACTGCCCTTCTCCTGCTCCCCTCAGCAACTTGCAAGCTGGAACTCTGCCAGGCTGCAAGAAACCCACCATTTCCCACATTTTTTCCTTATAAACAGAAAATCCAGGTTTTACTGTGTTTTTCTGTGGTGAACGGAAAACCCAGATCCCTAACGATGAATAATTAAGCTAAATTTAGATGGCATGCAAGTACATATGTCTATATAGGTTTTGCCTACATGTGAGATTAGTAGGTATACAGGAATACCATGACAAAAAGTGAAACTCAGGATATTATCTCAAAATCTTCTGCATTATTACTTTTGCAATACAATACTTTAATTACAAATACCACATAACAATAACGAGAATTCACAGCTCTCATAAAAGCTTTCAATATAACCTATCATTTGAACTGAAAAGACAGAGTTACTTTATAACAAACCACTCTTCATTTACGTCCTCTGTACCTCATCAAGTGAGTCACTAACAAGGTGTGTTCTCCTCACTTTCACATTTAGGAATAACATATTCATGTCGGGTTTCTGCCTGCGAGAGACTTTGTCCACAAGACTTTGCTATTTAGAATTTAAAAAAAGAAAAAAGTTTTACACACAAATTTGCTTTAAAAAACTTCAGAAAAGCAGACAATGGCATTAATTAAATGCATGGAATCTTTGCTTTAGAGCAGCAGTGAAATAAATATCAGCTTCTAAAATGTCAGTTGTTTGGTCAAAAGCAATGACAAAAGTTTCTCAGAGAGGTTCTTTTTAGGGATGGATATCAACAGAAAATATTTTCTAAAGCAGTCTACACTCACTATATATTTAACACTGTGTGATGTAACATTGAAATAATCTTAATAAGAAGAGTAAATAAACAGGTATTGGTTGTGTTGTGGAACAATCCTTAAAATCCTCTTCCGCCCCTCTCCTCAATTAATAGAACTTTTGAGTAGGTCCAACCAAGGGCTGCATGTGTTCCCGTGGCTTGAACCACTGATCAGCATTAGCAATATGGTGCAATTGGGATTTGATCCCCAGTCTCACAATCATGCCTCCTGCCAGGCACAGATCAGATCCCAAATATGCTTTTAACTGAATGTCTGTCAATTACTTTAGTTAAAAGATAAGGGGTGCATCTAGACATGCGCTTTACTGAGGAGCTGACTAATTAGCTTTGCAGTAAAGCATCACCATCTACATATGCACTGGCATTCAGGTGCAGTATATTAATTAACTCCACTGTAGGATGGTACTGTCCAGGACAAGTACTATCCTACAGTGGGGTAGTTACATGCACCAAAACCCATGTGTAAAGTGACTGGGGCTTGCTGGGGCATGAGGGTGCTACAGCTTGGAGGCTGCTTGCTAGTTAGCAGCACACTGTTGCACCCTTCTCATGCCCCAGCCAGCTCCTCTGCGGTACATTGAGCCAGGGCGGAGCAGCCCCAGGCTGACAGGCTGATCCTCCAGGTCTCCTGACAGACTAGGGCTGCTCTGCCTCAGCTCAACATGCTGTGGTACTGGGTGCCTGTGTAAATCCTGTGCCTGAGAGAAAAAACTTTGGTGCGAAATGCACTGTAGTTTATTGCTATGTGCTAATTGCTTGTGTAGATGCATCCAAAGACTAGTAAAACAGTTAAATTTATTTTCCCAGAGAAATCTTAAATTTCAGAGATAAAAAATATTTCTATGGAATTATTAGTAAATTAAACTGTATAACATTGTAGTGATTGTGAAAAAGACATTTATCCCAAAGACTTACACGTGCTATGCTTATCATCTGCTGTTCTGAGTCCCTCTGAATAATAACTTTTTTTGCTGCTATAGAAATGATGAATGGGTACTGACAGAAGGAAAACCTAAGTAATAAAATAGATAGGAAGTTAAATACAACATTTCTTTTAGAATTCAGGAAAAGAATTCTATGCTATAAGTTCTGCAAAAGTTCAACTAATTCAGTATTATGTTGGTAAACCAGACAGATATCCTGTGTCTCAACGAGAACCTGAAATCTTAATTTCATTGTACAACTTGAATAAAATGCAAAAAATGAATACAATACTGAAATAACTTAGATTAAGTTTTCTTCCATTTAAATAACCAGAAGTGATCATCAGGGATCTCTGTTTTCTCTGATAAAAAGTCCCCAATTTTCAGACTAAAAAAGTAACCCAGAATCCACATTTACCTTGATTAAAATGAAGCACCACTAATATCTCTCTCTATATTAGTGGTGTTTCATTGTAATCATAGAAAAATGTGGATTTGGGGTTACTTTTTTTTAGTCTGAAAACTGGGGATTTTTTTTTAATCAGGGAAAACCAGGATCCCTGGTGATTATATATAGAACCTAGAGGAGTCTGATTTACAGAGATGATAGTAAGAATTCTCTTGCAAGTCTCCAAGCATGTTAGGATTTACACATGTGCACAGCTTCATGCATTGAAAATAATCCAAAGGACTTCATTGAAAGTAATGACAAGGTACAAAATTAAACATGCAGTTGAAATTTTGCAGGATCAGAGGCAAATACTGAAGAGATGCATGTAGCATCTGAAAGTTTATGTGATACAATGGGCACAGTAAAATGCTAATCAGGTACAGAATACACCTTCATATAAATGCATACACCTCCAACAAATCTGCTAATTCTGCTAGATGTCTTATCATAAGTACGTGACAAAGGGAGGAAGAATGTATGCACCCCTGAATGTATAGGCAGACAAAACTCTTGGGGTATAGGTGACATCTTTTATTAGACCAACTAAATACTAGCAAAAAAAAAAGTCTCTCTTTGCAAGCTTTCAGGCCCAAACACCCTTCTTCAGGCAAAGGAGAATTCAAAGATTGTAAAATTTCTCCCCATAATGTAGGGGTGGACAAAATATGGCCTGCAGGCCAGATTCAGCCCACTAGGCCATTCTATCTGGCCCACGGGGCCCCCTAAAAAAATTTAGAAAATTAATATTTATTTGTCCTTGGTTCCTGTCAAAGATGACAGGAGCCAGGGGTAGTAGGACCCAGGGGATCAGGGGTGATCAGGGGGCAAGACCCCTGTCCAGCGGCAGGGCTACCCATGCGGCCCTCAACAGCTTGCCAAAACTGGGTAAGCGGCGCTCCACCCAAAATAATTGCCCGCTCCTGCCATAATGTGCGATTCTCCAAAATAATTTTCTACACTGTTACATAGATCATATTAAGAAATATCCAATTAGTATAAAATACAAGTCTATGTTGGTAATAGCAAATAATAAAAGCAGATTATAACTTTTATGTTATCTCATTCGCATGCATAGTAGAATCCTTGCCCCACTCAAGCCAATAGCGAAATATCCAATGATCTCACTGGGACCAGGATTTCAACCAAAATGTCTAAACCACTTTTTGAGGAATAATACAATACTTACCAAAAAACCCAAAAAACCCAAAGATGACAGGGTGCTTTTTTTTTTTTTTAAATTCAACGCTGAACAAAATACATCATCTACTTTTCTCACTTACCTGTGAGAATTTCCATAGCACTGCCAGTTATGATATTCTTCCATTAGATCAATATGATCCAGCGTGGAATTGTAGAAATCCGTATATGAAATAATAGGAGGACTAGCTAAACTATTTGCAGCATCTGCAATGCAAATATATGGAACCAATATTATGAACTCTCCCGAAATACTGTCTCTAATAAGACAATGCTGAAGACAAACCAAATGTGTGTGGAAATTCACTTATCAAAAATCACCTAGCAAAACAGTAAAGCTTATTCCAACACTACCCATAGTAGTATTACTACCTTATTATAAAAAAAATGTTGTGTCATCACATCAGTGGTTTAAATATATATAGTAAAAGAATAGTAAGTTTAGACACTGAAGTTGCTTTCTTGTGCTGATTTCAGGCACATCTCTAGTTTAAGGAAAGATGGCATGTTAACGATATACTTTTAAATTTAATTTTTTGGTATTTAGAAAGCTTCAACAGATTTTATCATTAAACTTAAAAAACATCAAGCTCAGGCTTATGAACAGAGACTTATTTTTATAACAGACACCAAAATCCCACAGTAATTTTTTCTGTTTCCTTTTCTTTATTTTTTTTTCAAATATAGCATAAAAATGTAAAGAATCTTGAATGCCAATGCAAGTCTATAACATTAATAAGACCCCAAGTGTAGATTAATCATAATAGCTCTAAATAGAGTTAACACATTACTCTGATATTAGTGAAAGGCATATTGATTAAGAAATCAATCAATTCATTACCTCACCCTGTCCAGAGGAGTATTTCTATCTATTGACTCATCTGTGAAATCCTATGAAATATGAACTTTCATTTCTACCTAGGAGAACTTTTACAATCTTGTTTCCGATGACTGGTGAAGGGTATTTGTGCCCAAAAGCTTGCAATTAAAGACATTTTTTTTTCAAAAATCTAGTTGATCTAATAAAAGATATAACCTCTACCATGAATCCCGATTGCTTTTTCCTCTAGACCTATATGGCTATAACCTGGATACCTTACCTCACCTTTAACATCCTGATAAATTAGTTCAGGACATTTCAAACAAACTTACTGATGTAACACGACACTATTATACAATGCCCCTAAGAATTCACTGCAATCCTGGCAAGGGGGAAGAGAAAAACAAAACAAAACAAAACAAAACAAACAACCCCACAAACCCACACAACTAAAAGCATGATGGAACTGATCTTCAGTCAATTATATATATGTAGGTAAGGGGACATTATAGATTTAAAAACATCCCACACAAATGTCTGGCTACCAGAATGGAATTCACTAACCCAAGCTGGTCCCTAAATTTGCTACATAACACATGCAGAAAAATAGGCATCTGAAATAGGATTCAGCAACAGCAAGCCTGCTGAGCAAAACGATGCATAAAGTAGGCAGAAGGCGGGGCAGAGCTGCACCTTTAGGGCATCTTTACATGTGCTCTGGGGTGGGAACCACTTTAATTAGAGCTGCTCCTGAGAGCTGCCCTAATGAAAGTGCCCACAGCACCTCATGCATTCAGTGTCCCATGCTGTAAAATGGCTGCGAGGGCACTTTAACTAAAGCACATTTGCCCCCATTACCATGTGACTACATGTGATGCCAAGGCTGCTGGAGCATGCGACTTAGTACACTGCAGCAGACTAGACTAATCAAGTCTTCTCTGATGCATTCTAATTCGAATGCTTTAAGCAGGTGTTGGGCACATGTATAGGTGCCTTTAGAGACTAACCAAATCAGAGGTGTATAGCATTAGCTTTCATAGGCAGAGGGCTTACTTAGATCTCCAGTTTAGTCAGTTTATAAAGGTGCATAGCTACCCTGCCTTCTGCCTGACTAACACAGCTACCTATTTCTTTCAGACCTAAAGCTAATCAAAAAGAAACATGTAAAAAGAAAGGGTACATTTCAAATCTTGCCTTGCTCCTACCTGCAGCCCTGAGTTATACCTATGTGACATTGGGATTAACAGCCTGAAAGCCCCTACTCCTACCACCGATTACTTATTTTACTCAATTGCTCTCTTTAATGCAAAACATATGAACAGTCTCCCAAAAGCTTGATGGGAGACAGAGTATTGCTATGTTAACTTTCAAATGTGTTAAATGCTCTTAAGATGGGAGTGTCCACATGTTAAAGCAGGAAGAGATGAGCTAAGTACCCTCTAAGCATCTCAACATAATCTTCCTCAGGTGAGGATCATCTCCAGCTAGTATTAGGCAGCTCATATTGCAGTAATGTTAGTTTGTTCCACAAGACCAATACCAGCAATTTGTAGCCTTCAGTATCCCAGGATGCACTGCCTCTAGCTCCCACTCCCCACATGGACTAGCTATTGCACTGTCCAAAACTATTGCCCTGGACGGACAGCCAGGGACAACCAGCCAGTCGCATGTGAGTGGAGAGAGGGGAGATGAGGGCAGGGGGGAGGAAAGAGGAAGGAGGAACTAGGGAGAGAGTGAAGGGAAAAGGGTGGGGTCAGGTGGGTGGGAAACTGTCAGACAACTGTGGGAGGAGGGGAGCAACCAGGCAGCTGCAGGGTCTGGTGGGAGCAATGCAGACTCAGTCAGGTACGTGTGAACTTCCAGGAAGGCACAGGTCTCATCCTAGAGCCTATACTCCTACTAGAGAGTCAGCAAGCTTGGAAGGCATGGAACAGACTTGGCAGTTTCTAACCAGGCCCAGGCTTGCAAGCCCTTCAGTGGCAAGTCTCAGCTGTGCACGAGAGAGGGTACAGGCAGTCCTTGACTTAAAGACATTGAGTTACAACGAACAGCACTTACGATGTTTATAAACTGACAACCTGTTTCAACTTTCTGATGTCAGTTTTGACTTCACAATGTTTGATCCAAGGCCACGCCATGCCACTTTAATTAACAAGTTCACTGCATCACCCATCTCCCTGAGGAACATCTGTCCAAACTTCCTTGGATACTTTCTTCAAGAAAGCAGACAAGACTCCAAAAAAACCTGGAACCAAGACTCCTGAGAAGACTCCAGCCAAGAGCCCTTCAAAAAGTCCAAAGTCACCTCAAAGAAGTCCTTCCAAATCAATATGATGGCTATTTAAAATATAAATGCATTAGTGTAGCTATATTACTCATCTATAATTGATTGAGTACAAAATTCTGGATTATTTTTGGTGAAAATAGGGTATAGTGCCTTGGTTCAGAAACCAATTCCTCATTTATAACACTGTTCCTATAGGAAAATTGGCTCCAAGTTACGACATTTCAACTTAAGATGCAGTTTTCAGGAACCAATTGTGTTGCAAGTCCAAGGACTGCCTGCATTGACTCTTAACCTATGAATGCTGACAGCAGGTGCTAACTTTAATACTACCTTACATTTTTTACAGTTAGCATGTGCTAATTATAACATGTAAATGCACCCATAGATTTGAACTTCTTCAGGTTGAGAAGGGCATGGAACCCAGGTTTCCCACTTTCTGAGCAAGCTTTCAAATCATTCAGCTATGATAAAAGAGGTGGAACCATGACCAACACTTCCTCCAGCCAGGTTTTAATTAAAGTAGCTAAAACTCCTGTGGTTTGTGTTTAACACAGTACTTGTGACACATCAGATATGTTCTAAGCCTCTGGATTAGATCCCTCGGAAATTTTAAGTAGCAGGATGCCTACTTCGTGACTACTAACTGTGCTCAGGCACAGATCCATACAGCTTGCCAGGATGGCAATACTTCCAGAAATGTACAATAGCAGAATATTGAGGACCTGGAAGGCTTTACTTGCGAAGGCATAACCATTTACAATTTCCCAGTGCCTAAACAGGGAAATGGTGTCTTTATGGATCACACTACAGGACTTAAGACGCTCTCAGATGCTGAAAGCAGGGCATCTATGCACATGCTCTGGGATGGAGTGGGGGAGGGGCTGTAATTAGAGTGGTTCTGAGTGTGGTTTTAAGTAAAGTGCCTGCTGTGTCATATACATTCAGCACCCTGCGCTTCAAAATGGTGGCAGGGGCACTTTAAGTAAAGCTTGTTCAATGAGCTTTAGTTAAAGCGCCCCTGCCGCCATTTTGAAAAGCGGAGATGCTGAATACATGTGATATGGAGGCTATCTGCTCTGATGCATGCCAATTAGCATGCATTGGAGCAAAGTTCCATCATGTGTATAGGTGCCCCAACCATTTTACATATCTGGATCTACTTATAGATATTTTGGCAGCTACCACTTTAATAATGTTTCCTGCTTTAAATCTAGGTGAAATCTTAACCTCTGTTCACTTTGGTTTGTTACTGTTTTAAGGATCATTGATTACTGTTGCAAAAGAAAGACGTGTATAAATTTTCCTCAAGAAAAAGCGACTAAAATGGCTTGTTGAAGCTGTGGTCTCGATCTTCTTACCAATTTCTGGCATTCCAGTTTTGTTGCCCTATGTAGAGTGACATCAATCTCTTTGTGGGAGAAAGAACAAAGTACATTCTGATAGAAGTGTGAATTGAAAATACTTCAAGTTTAGAAAAAAACCTACTAAACAAAGACAAGACTTTGGTTGCTGATGGAATCCACCAGGTGCATTTTATCATGGGTGGAAATTCTTCAGGTTTTGCAGGAAACAGACGTAAAGAAATGAATTGCAGCAACCTGTCCATCAACTGCTTGAACCGTTTCTGTGAAATCCTAGAAGAAACATGCTTAAGTTATTCTTGTGCTATTACAGCCTATACTGAAATTCACAGTAATAGATTCTAATGTTCTTTTCTGTAGTATTTACCACACAACAAAAAGTCAAAAAATAAAGTTTAATGAAATCTGCATATTGCTAAATATTGGCAGGGAGCTATATTTTTTAATAATCCTAGTGAATGCATCCCACAGAGACTAGATATAGTTTAAACTGATACCAACCTTTTTAACAGTAATGTATGAAATACTCCTTTACTAAGTAAAGTTAACTGGCTGTTTAATAATATAAAACATAATACAGAGACTCTATGACGCTGGTCTTTTCATTCTGAAAGGTTTTTTTTTAATTTTCTATTCAGAAATGTTTGAAAAAGTCACTGATAAATAGAAAGAGACTTCCTTAAATGCTAGGGATGTTCAAGCAAAGTAACAAATCCTAGATGAAACTATAGCCCCGTTGTCCCCTATAAGTACAACTCCTTCAGAGTTCACAGGTATTACCACCGAGATGTAGGCTGAAGTTAAAATAATCTAGGTCTGAACTAATCTTCTAGTCTGATAATTTAGAAGTAGGTGGGGAGGGAACAGTTATGCATGACCTCCCAACTTGCTCTTTCCTTCCTTTTTCCACTACATCTGCAGACTGCACTGAAAGGTCTCTTTATAGGCAGAGGAAGAATAGTTCTACAGAGGCACCTGAGCACCCCCTTCCTGCGGAGCCAGGACCTACTCCTGGAGGACTCCTTCATAAGCAGCCCTTAAGTATGGCAATCTGCATGCAGGCTTTGGAATATAAAGACCATAGGCAGTAACAGAATATAAATTAAAATCAATCCTTCAAAGCTACATGCTTAAATACTTATTTAGCTAGAAAACTGCAGATTAAAACAACTTGTGAAAATTAAGTGAATATAATTTAATTGATCAATAAGAAACAAGTTAGCATATAAAAATGCCATAGTGAAACCAAGTCAAGGCTACAACACTAAGCTGAAAACAACATGAGGGGAATATGAGAAAAAAAAGGAAAGATATGTATTAATATTTTAATTTTGAACAGATTTTCAGAAAAACCTTTATCTTTAATTTGTCTTGCCTTGAATGCATATACTCCTCATCTGGATAAAAGAAAATATTTTAAAATGTTTTACTTAATACTGTAATAGGTATAAACTATAAGCAAGATTGTGTTAGCACCCAAATATGCTTTTAAAAAAGTCCCTAGTTAATATAACTAAAACTTGTTAGATTGTAAAAGCACCTAGCATCTTTGGAAGTACTATAAACATAGTCTTACTGAATGAAAAATATTTACTTACTTTTTAAACCAGTGAACTAGAAAATGATGATCAGCTTCTGCCAAAGCTGCTGTCTGTCTTAGCAAGTGAGCATAGATGACATATGTTGATGTGTTACTAAACTGAGGATTCTGCAAAATATGTTAAAACATTGTTAGTATTGCAACCTATTAAAATAATTACTATAATAAAGACAAGATAATAAAACCAATGCATACTTTATTTACAACTTTAATTCACAGTTATGAACAGGGAACCTGGTTTCCTCTGTTTAAAAAGATGCAAATTCTCTGATTAAAGCAACCAACATTCACATCTTTTCCATGATAAAAATGAAATGCGTGTGTGTGCGCGCGTGCGTGCATGCATGCATGCGCATGTCAGCTGAACATGTTTTGCTGAACACGTTTTGTTGATATATTTACCATCTGAAGCCTACCAGTGCCTCAATCATTACAATAAAATACATTCTAAATACCTATATTGTGGCTTTTGATTTTTATCATGGAAAAATCAGAGCACCTCCTGACCTCTTTGCTCATGAGGACACAGATCCAGCTTTGGCTGCCCTCCCTGCAGCTTTGTGGTGCTGAGCAGCCCTGATATGCCAGTGCCCTACCCCTGCCCATACTGTAGCCCCTCATTCCTCACCCACAAGCCCCACTAGTGCCCCCGACCTACAGCCTCCTGACCCTGCTGCTGTCCCTCATTCCCAACCTGCAGCCCCCTGGCCCTGCCAGTGCTTCTCACTCATGACCGGCTGCTTGCTGAACCCTGCTGGTGCTCCTTACTCACGACTCACTGTCCCCCACCCCTACCAGTGGGGAAAAAGGGTAGGTATGACACTTCCTAGTTGAAACTTGAAATATTTTTCTGGTACCAGTTAGGATTCTCAGCTGACCTTCTCCCCAAATACCAGAAAACTGCTATTTGTGCAGAAAATGCATTTACGGGCCTTGCCTTTGTTAGCAGAATTCAGACTACAAATGAAATGCAGCCGTAGCAGAAATGTCTCAATACTATGTTGACAGAACACAGGCAACCTAACCACTGGATTATGATGCATTTATCTGATAATATGTATGATTCTTGCCACATTACAACCTGAATTGTTAGAGCAACATTAGCATTCTGCTCAAAATGTGTTAAATACAACTTGTTGAGGTACTGGACATGAAAACTGAATGCCACAGAAACCTCGACAGCAGACAAAATAAGAAACGTACCTTGATCTCTCATCCTGCAAGATGGTATTTAGGCAGTAATTCTTTTTTTTTTTTTTTTTTTTTTTTT